CGCTATTTTTTATTTATTTTCAAACTGGAGCAGTAGGTTTGCAAGTAGTCATTTTCCAAATATTTCGCTGTGAAATCTCTTTTAAACATTCTGTACAAGAAAAGCATAATTTGAACAAGAAGGGAAAAGAATTTCAAGTTTAACGTGTTATAACTTTATCATAAAATGCTTCTCATTGCTTTATCTATGACTTATCTAAACTGACCACCCAAATGTTTTATTCTTACCTTATTCCTAATAGAATGGCACCTCTACAAGCTGCGAAATATACCTATTTTTCCTCTTTCCAAATTATTCCATCCACTTCTTAATTTTCTGTCCTAAACATTTCCACCTATTTCTTTATTTTCTAAGAAGACCGTCATTACGTTCCATTTTCTAAGTCGAACACCTCAATTAATTCCTTTTGGCGCTAAACAGCTCATGTTCTTCAGTAAAATAAATTGCTTTCATCTTCTGGTCAAAATATTAATAGCTTCTTCTCTTCTTACACGAGGTTTTCAGATTTCTTTTCCAAAGCTTATTCGTTTCTAACTCATTTTTTATAAACATGCCGTACTTTAGCATTTTTTCTCCAACTGAATTTTTACCTTTTTTGAGCGCTATATAGTCTTCATCTGTACTATAATTTATTCAATATGTTTCTTTTTCATTATGAATTAATCATTATGAACAGGTAGTGTTAAGTCTCTTGAAATATCAAATATTTATTTTCTAAATGTTACCTAAAATGAAACTTTTAGTGAATTTAAGGATTTCAGAGAAGCATCTTCCATAGATCTATATTCTAATTAACTACTTAATCATGATAAGTCGGGAACTAAAAAAATGCTAAATGAATAGTACGTTTTCTGTTAATTTCAGCTCAGATCTCGTAATAGAATAACATTTTCTTCCATCCACGTTAAATTTTCAAAAACCAAAAAATGAATTAAGCGTTAATGCCTTCTCAAAATAACCAGTTTCCCACCTGGCTCACCGGAATGAGAACTGAAGCGATTGCAAAATCACTTTGAATTTATTAATTAAAAAACGCGAGAGCTATTTGGCACACGGAAAGACGTCTTTAAGAAGCATTTGTCAACAGTGTTTCAAAAATTAAGCTTGCAATATTATTAAGATCCAATCAGTCCTTGGGAAGCAATGATGTTTTTAACTACATGCATAAATTTAAATAGAATTTGCTGAACGATCTGTGTTAAGGAAGATACAATTATATATTTTAAAAAAGTGGCAATATTTTAGACCATAATTTGCAACTATTCACGAGTTAAATCTAAACATTTGTTATGCACTACATCAAGTTTTAAAATTCAACATGAGGTTGGTTTATATAGCCTCTTAAATGTTTGATTTCGAACATAATACATAGTGCTAAGGAATTAACGCTATGTATATATTGCGCTTCAGGGATCAGAATATAAAATAACTCGTGGCACAGATTCAGTCAAAAATGTTTTTATGTTTATTTTTATTTTTTCCTTGCTGTCATGAATGTCATTAATCATTATAAATAAGTAAGATTATTCTCTTGAACAATTAATGGGATTTTCTTCCATATAATTATTTTCAGTTTTTTACTCAATTGCATTTGTTGGTACGATCAGTTTTTTAAAAGAATTTATCTATCACTTTATAAGGTGTTTCTCCCGCCTTCTTGACATGCCCTCATGGTATGGTGGTCTGGACGCTGGTAGCGCATTCCAGAGATCCGTGGATCATTTCCCGACCAAGATATTGCTCATTTTTCATGTGTCTTGCTTCGAAATAACCTAATTTCTCTACAAGTTATATCAAATAAAATATTACCATTTATCATTTAGCATTTTTTCCACTTAATTTCCATTCCAATGCTATCTCTTATAATAGAAGTTGTAATACAAGGGACAGTCATAATAAAAGCAGAAATAATGTAAGTAGGTAATACAGTGGTGTTAGTAATACAAGGTAATAATAATGAAAGTTATAATATGAGATTATTGAATCGGCTTTATAATTTAAGTAAACGTCTCTACTGTCGAAAAGCAAAGCTACGAAGAAATTGTATGCTATTGTATCAAATAATCAATATTAAACCCCTTTTCGTTAATATTCAACTTCAAAAATAAATTTTATGCATTTTGGTCAATAAATTATCCAAGTAAATAGCAACTATTAAAACGGCGAAGTGCAAATTGTAAAACAAAAGTAAATACATACCACAAAAGTAACTACTTTACACATAAGATAAATACATATCGTCCAATCTGTATGAAGATAAGTAATTTAGATTGTATGAAAATATTCATGAGATATTTTGGCAATTTTCAGTTCTTAATACATTCCTTTCAGATTAAAACGTGTAATGGCAGAGCTTTAATTACTTCAATCAGTACACGTCTAGAGTTTCAAACCTCGACTTCAAATTATTCACATCATGTAGCACTTGCAGTTTAAAAGTACCACTTTTCCTACATATGTTATATTTCTCTCCTTCCTCATTTTCAATTACGCAAACTTTAACATTTTTGAATTATTATTGTTTTTTTACTGTGTATATAAAACTAGAATCACGATATTTACATATCGTTTTAAGCAATACTAATGTTATTTCCGATATTGCTATATATTGATTCGCGAGGTAACACGAGTGACTTATACTTTTATGTTATTTCTTAATAACCAAATATTTAATTGCTGCAAAAAATTAAAGAAACTACTGATGTGTAGGCTTTCGTCTTCCTAACTTTTCTTTTCTTTAAAACAATTATATTTTAAGTTCCTAGGTACTTTTCCACCAAATACAGATACAGATTGGTAAAGTAGTCTCTAAAATGGAATGTTTCAAATCTCATCTTTTTTATCAACAAATACATCGTTCATGTTATTATAAAAAAGAAATAAAAGTGATCTAGAGCTATGAAAACGAATCTAATCTTATTCATTTCTTTAGAGTTAAGAAATGATCGATAAACTGTTTATTTATTAGTTAACATCTCATAATTTCGTACAGAATTAAGAACAAACGCTTTGAAACTTGTTTACCCACGCGCTGATTTGCAAGAATTTTATTCCCTATTCCTCTATGAATTATATAATTCAACCGTCAATTAAGGGGATTTTATGAAAGAAAGAGACTACTCAACTACATTTTCTTTTAAAGAATAGATGTAAAATAATTCAGGCTTCATCAAAATACATTTCAACCACAAGTAAGCGACTAATAATGATCTAAGGACTCTCAGTAGCAATCTGTATGCGCGATTTGGGCAGATTTATTTATGAAACAAGATGGATAGATATGATGTACTAGAACGCCCGGTGGTCATACGAAATGACCGGTCTTCTAGATATTATAAATTGTAATTAAAATGATTTGTGCAAAGGTGCCTGCTAATTTAAACCCAGGGCAGGCGGCGAGGACGCCCCTTTGCTTCCCCGGGGTGTCCCCCTTCTACTTGCTTAATTGCTTAAAGTAGAGTGCAATGAAGGAAACCACTAGCGGTACATTTCTTAAGAGCCACCGCAAGCTCAATCAATAAAGGTGATTTAAATAATGAAATGTTAATTCACATGTCAAAGATCTCTTTGTACACAACACTTCATGTGTAGATCTTTCCATCATTTTTAAGCTCGCCTTGCAGAGGACCATAAATTATTTTTAATTTTACGTCCGTTCTTTCACGAACTCTTGAACAGGCAACATAAAGTTGACCGTGTCAGGATCAGGAAAAAAAAGTGCCAACACGCTTAAGCGTTTGGCCCTGAGACTTATTGATGGTCATAGCAAAGGCAAGTTTTACAGGAAATTGCCTACGTCTCAATTGAAACGGCAACCCTGTGCCGTGGCAACTTCACCCCATTGGCTAGTACAGTTACGCAAGTAACCGATAAACTATCAGCGACAAACAGACACTTTAGCCGCACATATATATATATATATATATATATATATATATGGGGTGAAGTAACTCATCTTCTCCGAAACGGCTGGCTCCTAGGCTGAGCGAAGCACACCGTTGGATTTCGCAGGTCCGTGGCACGTCATTTTGACCATTCGCGTCTTCTTGGAACTTTAATTACCCGAGATTTTAAATAAAAAATAATTTTTCCCCTACGTTTATCATTCATTCTTGACTTTCTTCCTTGGGATTTCCCTATTAGAGGGATTTGGCTACGTGCCAAATTCTTTTTCCTCCAATATCTACGGAACGGCGCCGAATTGAAATTCGAGACGCGTATCCTCTGATTCCACAACATTCTCCGAATCCATCGATACCGTTCTCATCATCGTACGACTCTAATCGGCCGAGATACTAATTAAAAACTGCGAAAACGTGAAGTTCCGCTCTCATTTTTCCGAGTGGCAACAATAAACTCCCGACGACACACACTTTAGCCGCTTATATATATAAAGAAAGGATAAGGGGAAAATGTTAAGATTTTAACATTAAAAAAAATTGGACATAAGAGAGACATGAGAAAGCATTTGTATAACTTGAAAAAAGCTTTTAAAATTTCGGTCTCTGAAATACCTCTCAGAAGCGCTTTTTTTTTTTTTTTTTTTTTTTTTTTTTTTTTTTTCTAGTTGATACCTATTTCCCCTTCCGCTTGACGGATTTAAATAGCTTAGCAGAAAACCAAGCAAAGAAGCTAATACAGGGTCAAGCAATAAGCTGTACTAATGCTTTGCTGTAAGTGATGTTGTGTTTGTCAAAGTATGAATCCCAACAGCTGTCTCCCGAGCTTTTCAACTATTCCGTGTCTTTTCAACAAACGTGAAGACATCAGAACCTATTATTGAATGTAGTGTCATCGGGTTAAATTCACTCAAAGTGCTTAAATCTTTCTGATTTAAGCAGCCTACAAATCAAATTCTCATTATTTAAAAAAAAGTCCATAATTTCTTTTCCTTGCCATCTGTTCTCATCATTTTGGTGCCTTGTGTGCCATGAAATCTTCTAATACTTGCTTTTAAATAAATACAGTACTTTTCTAACATCTAAGCATTTATTTTTCAGTTAAACCTGAAGTTCGCTTGCCTCACAGCTTCGTGGATGTAGCAGGAGAGGAAGGTGAAGCTGCTCGTTTGGTGTGCTTAGCAGAAGGTGCACCAGCCATTAGTTTCGTCTGGTCCTACAATGGGGGCGTCATTGGTGATAACTTCAGTAGTAGCAAATATGCCTCTCAGGCAGCTCAACTAGATGATGTGACATGGGAGAGTGTTCTCTTCGTAAAGCACCTCCAAGCAAATGATTTTGGATATTATACATGTGTAGCGCGGAATGAACTAGGACATGACCATGTTAAAGTCAAGCTCAGGAGAAGAGGTGAAGTACTTACCCTGTAAAATTTTCTTCTTATTGAGTTCTTTTATCGTATAATGTAAGTCATAGATTTCATAAGATTTATTATCTGCAATTTGTGGTACCTGTGAAAAAATGCAAAAGTCATTGAAATTATAGCAGTTGCGCTACAAATTTTAACATTAAGTTATTAAAAAAATTACAATACTTGGTCACGCAACATTTATTTGCACAATTAAATTAATCTTATTTTGACTTTCTGTACAGATCCTCTGTAGTTTCATGTGACTTACAATATTTGTCCATAGAAGTATTGATACCATACAATATTTGTCCTTCACGTGATCATTAAATAATCTTTATCTTGAAAATAAATCATTAAATAATCTTTATCTTGAAAATAAATCATTAAATAATCTTTATCTTAAAATGCAATTAATCATCACATAGCCTTGAAAATACAATTACATAACTTACAAATTATTTAGAGATACATAGTTTTATTATTTTCTGCAGTGCTGAAGAAATAACTCTGAATGAAGAGAATATTAAATTTTCATTAATAACATAAAATTGAATAAAAGAGAAATGTCGGCTTACGCATGTATAGTGCCAAAAAAGAACGCATAATATCCTCAACTGTGAAACACGCATTTACTCATAAAAATCAATGTTGTAGTATAATTTTAGATACGTGTTTGGTCACAAAAAATCTAGTTAGCACCAGTCACATAACACATAATGATAATTGTGTGGCAGAACAACAGGACATCGAAAAAAGTAAAATCTTGAAACATCACAAAAGTCAGTTAAATTTCAATGTTATGCTTGCAGGATATTATAGGACTAAGAGAGAACAAAATGGACTGCTATTTTTTTAGAAAAACGGTCCTTGGTCGATCTTGTTCATAGGTATGAAAAGTTATAAGACTTGTCTTCAAGCCTTCATTCACGCGTGCGAGCCAATGCTAAAAAGAAGAGACTCAGGGAACTTCAAAACACCGGTCTATTCATGGTATTTTTAGCCAACGTCCATTGCCACAGTCGAAATGAAATTCGGAGTGAAAATGTGAGGGCTTGCCTTCCCACTTATCCCACTCATACCCATAATTATTTACCTTTCTTGTCATGGAATCGAGCAAATAATTACAGTTATTCCTGAAGACAGATCGATATATAATAATTTCAAATAAAGTTTAACCGGAATATTATTTAGCATGCACACTTATGATTCAGACAAACTTGAAACTCTCCTGGATGTCTTTTAATTTGGGCCAAATTTCCAAGATATAAATAAAACGTCTTAGAATTATTTTTATATCTTTAGTATATCACAGTAGAAAATAACTAATGATTAAATTATTACTTCCCTTATGCTTAAAAAATCGGACTTCCTGAACTTGTTACTGACTAATTAAATTGATTAAAGTAAAATGTTAATTATAATGTATCTCGACGTATTGCGAGTTATGTTCCAGTTGCGAATTATGTCTGTAAAAATTACTCAAATTGTACTTTACAATGCATATAAAAATCATGCTTACTATTTATTACCCTCTTAAAGTATACCACAGGTCTAAAAGGTGAGCTATTCAGAAGTCAATGGATGTTTTAAAACGTTTTAGCTCGGTGAATTTGTAATACATAGTGAAGCAATAACACAGAAATGTATACGGTTCCGGGAACAGAGAGTTGAACAATTTGATATGTTTTATTTGTATTTATAGATATGTTCATTAGAAAATGCTTCCTATGTAACAGCAGTAAATAAAAAAAATCAAGATTTTTAAATTCATGAAAGCGCTGAAGGATACTTAACGTATCTTTTATAGGGATACTTAACGTAGGATTTCTATCATTATTAGAATATTACTTCAAGCTAAACATTGCGAAACTGGCAGGATGCCTCTTTCTTTTGCGTTTGTAACTACAGTTGCTGATCTTCGATTATGTGGAAAATCTTCCAATGAACTAGTTGTCTTAAGGGTCTTCTTATTTTCTTCAGCCCTGGAATGATCACTGGATATTTTTTACGCTCATATTCTTGAGTTGATGAAAAATTCACAAATTTGCAGTACCTTTTCATCATTAAAATAGTAAAGTTTTACTTAAAATACTTCATCAAGCTGTACCAACATATTAGAACTGTATTACCTTAACTTTGAAATTCTTAATACTTAGTGCCACAGATACTGTATGCGTATTCTTTCTAGCACAACACCATTTACTGAACACAGCAATACACGTCTACAAAATTTCCTATCTATAAATCGAAGAATAAATTTACACAAGCTTCAATTATATCTGTGTTATTTTATTTTATTTGTATTCATTCTAGGGCTCTTGCATATTATTTTAGCTATGATAAGGAAACTAGAAACTAGATACTAGTTCATGAATCAAAACCAAAATTGAAATTCCGCTCCTTCAACAGGTCCTCCGGATCCACCTTACAATATCCGGATAGTCAATACATCAGCTGACAGCGTAGTTCTCAGCTGGACTCCTGGATATAGCAGTGGCCTTCCTCAGCAGTTTAGGATTCGATACGAGGTAACAGGATCTAATGATCCGAAGTATACAGACGTCTTTCCTGCCAATAGCACTGTCTTCATTGTAACAGGTCTGGAACCAGAAAAGGAGTACAGTTTCAGCATGTCGGCCAGAAATATGTTAGGAGAGAGCTTATACAGTAGAGAGAACACTAGAGCAATTACACAAAGTAAGTAAATCTTGAGCAAATTGAAATATGCAAGCAAAAATGTTCTTAGCGGTAAATTTCTTTACTATTTCCACCACAAAAAATAGCAATTCTTTATAACATATATTTATAAGATCCATAAATTCATGTGTAAAATATCCTGAAATATATAAATTTTAAACTTGAAACATGGAAATTTTAAAGATATGCTACATGAATGTGGCTTATTGTGTATTTTATATAGGAAGTAATACGCTTATATCGTATATACAATATTTTGTAATGTCTAATATTATTGTAGTACCGAAGAATAATACTTTTGTATGGCTTATTCTGTATAGTTTATTTGAATATTATAACGTAACTAGAAAACATGTTTTGAACTTTGAACAAAAGGAGCGGATCATCAGATTCGGTGTTAAACATTTTGTAGGTATGCAAACATTATAAATGCATTATACTCATTCCTCATGCTCAGACTTTATGAGGAATGTAATGTAATATAATACGGACAGACTTGAAAATGACGCTAAGTAGTAGTGCATAGAAAATGAAATATAAATAACAGTACAAGGTAATATACAGTGTGTGCACAAAAATTGTTTAAGCAGAATATTTGCAAAGGTTCAAATGGTTAATCGTCGTGATTCAACGGAGTATTTAACTACAAAATATAAAATTTCAACTCAACTCTTTGTTCTATCTTACTCATCAGGAGAAATTAATTATTAAGCAATAAATTAGTTATTAGTCGACAGTTATAACAGGAAGGAGAAGTGGTACCATAACTTCAGCAGTTGTTTTACAGGAATAGTTCCACCGCATTTGATGTACAGTTCCAAATCAATTTTAGTAGGAAGAACACCTCGGATGATGGATCTGAAGGTCTTTCTCCCATTTTCCCCTATCATCAAACGACTTTGAAGGATTTTCAGCTCGCTAATATTTCAAGACCCCTCGCAACACAGACTCTATACACTTACAAACATCAGAGGCTTCTCCGGGATTGGAACACCGCCCCAATGATAAAACAGCCTGAACTGCTAACTGCCGTATGGATCAAAGCGGAACCTGACTAAAACAGTATGTTCATGAGAATTTCAAGTTTAGTTCGGATCATCTATTTATGATCGTCTATCGACAATGGTGCATAATTAGTTGTATAATAATAATAAATCGGGCATTCCTCTTTCCGCCATTCTCTGTTCTATTTGCTGTAGGACTTGCTAGACCCCGGGCTGGCCAATAAGGGACCTTTCCGGAGCCTCCAAAACCACTAGGTTCATGATTTGTATACCCCCGTGGCCGAGACTGCCTAGGTATAGATCCTAGCTAGTAGCTTCGCAGAGTTCTCTACGTCAACCCGCGAAGGGCATAGTTGTATAAGAGGCTTCATAAAATTAAAGCTTTACAACACGTAAATAAAGCTCCAATTTTTTATTTACAAAAACGCTAAATAACTTCTGTTTTGGGTCGCATATGTCGCTGGGCCATATGTTGCTCATGGGCTGTAGGATAAGTAAGCATTGGTCTACGACCCCCCGGAGAGGGATAGTTGCATAAGAGGCTTCATAATGTTAAAGCTTGACAACACGCGTAAAACTTGAATTTTAACATGCTATTCAGAAATCCGAAACTTTTCTACGGCGCAGATGACTTTTCCTTTCCCCAGTTGTTATTTACAAGAACTCTAAATAACTTCTGCTTTGGGTAGCATATGTCACAGGGCCATATGTTGCTCATGAGCTGTAGGATAAGTACGGATTGTCTACGACCCCCCCCCGGGGGGAATAGTTGTATAAGAGTCTTCATAAAATTAATCCTTTACAAAACGTGTAAAACTTGAATTTTAACATGCTATTGAGAAATCCGAAACTTTTCTACAGCGCAGATGACTTTTCCTTCCCCCAATTTTTATTTAACTCTAAATAACTTCTGTTTTGGGTAGCATATATCGCCGGGCCATATGTTGCTGATGGGCTGTGGGTTAAGTATGGATGGTCTGCGTAGTTTCGGGACTGTTGTTGTTAGTCTTTCCAGACTGAGAAAACTTACCACTAATAGCATAGTCTTCTTACTTCCCTTTCTTTAAATAATCATTTCCCTTCAGAAAGTTATCTAAATGTACTTTTCTGTTGCATCTTACGGAATCTATATCTGCTTTAAGAGTTCAAAAGCGAAAGAAAAAACAAGAGGGTTTTGACTGAAATGGTAGACAGTTTTAAACAAAACATCATTAGTGGCAAAAGTTAGTGTTCACTTTACAGTGGCAAATTGTCAGTCATCTGCATGGGTAAGAAACAAACTGCTTCTTTCCCACAACTTCTTTTTGTTAAGAAAAAATCAAAAAATTTCCTTTTCTAGCAATTCCAGCCTTATGAAAGAATTCGTCGGCTAATAAAAAATTATTACTTGATTGCGGAAAAAAAGCTTTGATCGAGTAGCACATTCTTAATGCCTATTCTTGCAAAAGAACACTTATCATAAAGCTTGTGAATGTAAATAAAAATACAACCTTGATCAGTCAGTTTTATTCGTCAGATTTGACATCTACGAATAATTTTCTGTTTTGTGATAGAAATCTTGCACTAAAGAACACCGTTTTGATAGCATTACAGGAAGTCAGAAAAAGTAACAAGAAAACGAAATATTTAAATGTGAAGGAATTTGGGAATTCTATTCATATGCCAAGAATGTTAAAGATTAAACATTTTTACACCATTTTGTTTTCAAATTATCTCTTTTATCATTTCAGCTTAAAACTTTCAGATTTACTGAGTATATGCATGCGGAACTTCCAGGTAAAACGTTTCTTCAATAACAGTAAATCTTGTGAGGATAAAGAAAAAGTGATAAATCAGGTTTTGTAAAGAAGGGAAAGGCGCTGAAATATACCTGTGAATCAAAATAATGTTGAAAGTTTTCCCTTGCTTCTGGGAAGCACTAGAAAAATAGATTAAGGAAGTTTTTCTATTTTCAGTAAGATGAAGGAGTAACAATAAAAGCTAAAATAAATTAAGCGCATTGTGAAGTAAAATCAACTCGAAACATTTCCGTCCTTTTACATTTTTTACTGACATTTGAACCAAATACATTTCTGTCGCAAGTAAAAATTTTGACCATAAAGACAACTTTACAGATAAAATAAAAAGAACGAAAATAAATGAAGAAATACAAACATAGTTTCTGCTTAAGACAGCTCCTATTGTTGTTAAGTCAAGTATATTTTCTAAGCGCTATGTCAATATCGTAGAATGTCGCTATTGCAGTGTTAAAGGAGCTACAATTTCATTGTTTTCATCCCCTCTTGCTTACCGTTGGAGATGTTCTTACCAGCGCTGTACTAGAAGGGACGCTGTGTAAACATAAAGAGAGAAAGTAAGAGCTCATTACAAGAATCTTTAGAAAGATCTCCTGGTGCTGTGTTTTCAATAATCTACATACGTCATGCAGCACCTACATCCTTATTTAGCATATAAATATCTGCTAAATTCAGAGATAGAATAACTTTTGCCTTCATGAAGCTATGTAAATTATTCAAGCTTTGGAAAGAAAGCAATTTAATTTAGACCAGTTATATTTCAAATTGACTGGATAAATTATTCTAACAGTTCGTTTCTGAAAAATGTTTAAAGTTGCATCACACACTCTTTTTCAATCTTTGCCCACCGGCGACCAAGCGGTAAATTCACTGAATACTGGTAATTCGGTCCGGATGCTAATCTCGGTGAACAAGCTGACTGCCTTTCCCCAGGAGTAATGTGTATATGAACCAGTTTTCGCTTAGAAAGTCCTCCATGAAGGCGTCACTTCTCTTAGGCAGATAGCCCTCGAATTCTTTGTCATAATTAAATAAACTAAACCAAACTATTTCAGTCTGTAACAAAGCATAAGATTTAATTGTCTATTATATTAATTAAACTTTAACTAAATTTTAAATTCTTCCATTAAAACAAGATTACTGAGCGACCAAAAACAAACCAAAAAATTCAAATAAAAAATATTTTGAATTTCTGCTTCAAAAACTATTGCTGTAAAAATCTGATTTTCAAGACTTTCATGTTTTAATAAACTGATATAAAATTTTAAAGCACTGTCGTTATGTTTGTTTATCAGAACCATTCAATTTATCAGCCCAAAATGTTTTGATGATTTATTTTATATAAACTAATGAACACTTATCTTCTGCATGATATGACGAAAACAATAAAATGATGCGTGGTATGAACAAAAATGTAAATATAAGAACTAGTAATAATAATGAAGAATATAAAAATTGCGTATTATGTAATAAAAGCAGCCCAGATTTTATTAAAAATTCTTAATTTAAATAATCCTCCCAGTCACATACGCTTTTAAGTAGAATGTATAAATAATGTTCATTAAATATACTATAGGGACTAACAGAATTTTTTAGAGCGAAGAACTTAATGTGCTGCACAGTCGCCGCAATTTAATACGAAGATCCCAACTGCTAACTGAAGGTGTTTCTCGTTGCACCAATGATTTCCAAGCCTTATTATTTTGTATTAACCTTGTTATATCAAAATTTTACATCGGCTTACCTAATCAGAATATAGACTCAGCTGACCGGTTACAATGCGCAGTTAATATTGTTAGGCTGCTTAAGTTAATCTTATATTTCAAATTGAGAGACAGTTCAAATAAAACGAACTATATAATTACATATTTTACAGCTATGTTAATGAATAAACGTGACGTCGCATATAGCTGTTTTCTTTTAATGATATCCAAACATGCTAGTTCCCTGTGTTTCAATTTTGGCCTTTCAGTGTGTAAGATATTTATTTATTTTAAATAACCACTTATTTTATGTTACGCGCCTTTACTCTCATTTCTCCCTTTCCATTTTACTGCCAGAAAGTTAATTTTACTTCGTGCGTCTTTGAATGATGATAGCATTTAAAAGGAGATGTTAGACTGCTTAGAGAGAACGTGTTCCGCCTGCTGAACTTACATTACTAGTTGAAATTCTACGATAACACTCTGTCTTCGGCGTTGCTCAGTCCTATACCGGCTTGTCACGCCCGTATAGATTTGATCCAACTCGCGAGCTAATCATTTCCGTGAAGCTGTTGGGCTGACT